AGCTGAGTAGCTAGACTGTGAAAGGGGTCTATCTCCCACATTAGCGCTGAGCAAAGTATCGATAATGACTGCTGTTCAGCCACCTTCTTGCGCACAATATTAATGAGAATTGCATCATTCACCCACAGAAGATCGCAAAACTCCAGATTTGTGATGTCGGATATTCTTCCAACAACAGCCCACTGAAAATTGATAAGTGTTCTATCCTTCAACGACAAAGTTGTGTTGTCAGCGAATAACCCCCCTCCAATCAAACGAAGGTCTTCAGGTGTCATGAGTGGAGCTCTGTTGACCACGAGCCTGACGCCCTCAGGCAAGCGGTTGTAAAATTCTTTCTCGAGTGATTTACGCAGCTGACTGTACCACGATTTGTTATCATCAAATAGCCTAGTACAGGTCTTTCTCTCCAATAAAACTCGGACTGAGCTCATACAATCCAGACTAGTGCTGCACGCCAGGTCCTCGTAGACTAGTAAATAGTCAGCAAAACGACCAATCATGTCCTTTGTGATGTCTTCGGCCTTCAGAGAGGCGATCGTTAGCGGGCCTGGCCTACGATTGGTGAAGCTGTCGGATTCGCTCGCTCCATTCTCAATGCCTAGAAAGCGGTCAAACCGCCGCGCAGCCAAGTCATGAGCAGCACGGGTACGATTATTTGACGAGCGGGCAGACAAATCTTCCAGCTCTCTTGCCTCCGTTTGACCTCGCGTGGGCCTGCTTTGCTTCCTCTGCTTTTGCTTTGCTCCGCTCGGTTTAATAAGAAGCGCTGATGCTCTGTTGCCCCGCGTGCTGTCCACTTCTTCTGCACTCGACATCGTAGAGCGCTTTTAAATTCTGAGCGCGACGCCTGGTTGGGGTGCGTTGTTAAGACTTGAGCTACCTTTGAGATTTAATTTTCGGAGCGACGTGTACGGATAATCGCCACTATCCTGCCATCGTCCGTTGGCTCCGTGCGATTGTGACGGTCTTCTTGTTTCTTCCGTTCACGTCAGGAGAAGGAGCGCAGGACGCAACACCGGCTTGGAGAGATGAAATGGGCCCAGATTCTTCAGAGAACACGGCTCGCACTTTATAATTTAAAGTTTGAAAGGCCCAATATTAAAGCTACAGCTTTGCGCGTGCGTGCGGAAAACCGCTCCGAGCGCTCTCTGTATTAAACGCCCAATATACTCAACTGAAGGTATTTGCAGTAGCAAATCCACAACCGCTCCGACGATCACGATTATTCACTACAGCTTGGCATGTACTGTAAGTAGTGTAATGAACCTCGGAAAGACAAAAATGACGGCTATTCACTTCGACTAACCACACGACAAGTGGATGCGACAAGGGGGCCTGCAATGAAGTCTCCGAGGGCTAAGCAAAGGGACAAATCAAAGTTTTAGTGGACCAGCTAAACGCGAAGGATTTCGATGACTGTTCTACTGCTCATAGCTGTCGTTTCCAGAGGTTGTGTCCTCATGCTTTCGCTTTGTACTTTTCAGCGCATCGCAAGCTTTAACGATTCCGGTAATGTACGGCTTACGCTTGCGCTTACCATCGGAAAGCTGCTCAACAATCTCGTTCTCGACCTCTTGAGCAATTTGTTGTGCTTGTGCTCTCCACTTAGCTCGTGTGGCATCATCGCTTAACGATCGAAATGGCATGGGCTTACGGTCGCCCATAACCCCAAAAGCAATTACCATCGCCCGCTTGCATTCGGTTTGTGCTCGGTTCTTTCGATCGTATGGAGCGGCTTCCAGATCTTCCTCTAAGTACTGACAAATGAGGGTGGATAGAGATACCCCGCCGAGTTTGTTTAGGGTCCTAGGCCATTTAGGTGGCTGAAGTAGCTGCAAGGAATTCGATGCAATTGTACGTCTCTCCGGCTCAGTAATTGTGTTTTCCATCCGCTGCATAGATTTCTCAATAGAAGCTACGAGGTGCTCGTATGATGCCGCAAGCTTACTGTATGATGTCGCAAGCTGTTTGTTGGCCACGACGAGCTTTTCGTTAGTATCCTCCACCACCTTTAGACGCAGTCGAGTTTCTTCTGTCGCTCCTGCAATACTTTGCAGCGTTGCCACTGTGCCAACCAGAGTCTCCTTGAAAGTATGAGCCCCAACAAATTGGGCTGCCCTTGCAGTATCTGTTAAACTATCTGCGACGACGCCAATCGGAAGTGACAGGACGTTATCTTGGACGAACCGTGTTCGCACAGCAATACTCCACTCACGAAGCAAATTAAGTGCGTCCTCTTCTCCACATTGACCATCATTCACGACACTCCTTACCACCGAAATCATTTTGCTGTGAAGAATGTGTGCTGGATACCGTCGATACGTCTCCTCAAAATACATAAGTAGCGAAGCCGTCAGTGTGAAGATGAACTTGTGTGGTTTCAGCCGATCCAAGGCTTTGTCAAAGAGGGAAAGTGCAAATTTCTGCTGTAGATTCGAGTCGTTTGGGTCAGCGTCAGCACGGCTCGACAAACCAGGCGCTAGGTGGGGTGAATGGACTACCGCATCTGCAACCTTCCACCCAGAAATAACTCGGGCTACTTTTAAGTCACCTTTGGTTGTAGACGCAATGTAAACAAATAGTTTCATCATCTGCTCCATACTCCACTTGCCTCGATGCGCGACATCAGCTAAACTCAGTCCACTGTTTGATGCAGCATGCGTAGCAGCTCCACGGCGAGCTGAGTGTGTTCGTAAGCCAGGCGTTAATTGGCCACCACAGCTAGAGCTTGTTGACAATGCAGCTAGCACTTTGTTGGTGTGAGCGCTACCACACTCACCTGACTCGCTTATTGCGACTTGTGGGAAGACTCGAGACGACGGGTTGAATGGATCAGTGGCCAGCTGAGTAGCTAGACTGTGAAAGGGGTCTATCTCCCACATTAGCGCTGAGCAAAGTATCGATAATGACTGCTGTTCAGCCACCTTCTTGCGCACAATATTAATGAGAATTGCATCATTCACCCACAGAAGATCGCAAAACTCCAGATTTGTGATGTCGGATATTCTTCCAACAACAGCCCACTGAAAATTGATAAGTGTTCTATCCTTCAACGACAAAGTTGTGTTGTCAGCGAATAACCCCCCTCCAATCAAACGAAGGTCTTCAGGTGTCATGAGTGGAGCTCTGTTGACCACGAGCCTGACGCCCTCAGGCAAGCGGTTGTAAAATTCTTTCTCGAGTGATTTACGCAGCTGACTGTACCACGATTTGTTATCATCAAATAGCCTAGTACAGGTCTTTCTCTCCAATAAAACTCGGACTGAGCTCATACAATCCAGACTAGTGCTGCACGCCAGGTCCTCGTAGACTAGTAAATAGTCAGCAAAACGACCAATCATGTCCTTTGTGATGTCTTCGGCCTTCAGAGAGGCGATCGTTAGCGGGCCTGGCCTACGATTGGTGAAGCTGTCGGATTCGCTCGCTCCATTCTCAATGCCTAGAAAGCGGTCAAACCGCCGCGCAGCCAAGTCATGAGCAGCACGGGTACGATTATTTGACGAGCGGGCAGACAAATCTTCCAGCTCTCTTGCCTCCGTTTGACCTCGCGTGGGCCTGCTTTGCTTCCTCTGCTTTTGCTTTGCTCCGCTCGGTTTAATAAGAAGCGCTGATGCTCTGTTGCCCCGCGTGCTGTCCACTTCTTCTGCACTCGACATCGTAGAGCGCTTTTAAATTCTGAGCGCGACGCCTGGTTGGGGTTCGTTGTTAAGACTTGAGCTACCTTTGAGATTTAATTTTCGGAGCGACGTGTACGGATAATTGCCACTATCCTGCCATCGTCCGTTGGCTCCGTGCGATTGTGACGGTCTTCTTGTTTCTTCCGTTCACGTCAGGAGAAGGAGCGCAGGACGCAACACCGGCTTGGAGAGATGAAATGGGCCCAGATTCTTCAGAGAACACGGCTCGCACTTTATAATTTAAAGTTTGAAAGGCCCAATATTAAAGCTACAGCTTTGCGCGTGCGTGCGGAAAACCGCTCCGAGCGCTCTCTGTATTAAACGCCCAATATACTCAACTGAAGGTATTTGCAGTAGCAAATCCACAACCGCTCCGACGATCACGATTATTCACTACAGCTTGGCATGTACTGTAAGTAGTGTAATGAACCTCGGAAAGACAAAAATGACGGCTATTCACTTCGACTAACCACACGACAAGTGGGTGCGACAAGGGGGCCTGCAATGAAGTCTCCGAGGGCTAAGCAAGCTAAACGCGA